AATTACAGCTCTTAAGAGTAGCCATCCCCCTTTTTTTAAAGGGACCAAAAGTAAGTGGACAGTTGAATCAAAAGCTGTTTCATGGCTAGGTGTGGGCTACTCCTTCGTTATTTCTTCATCAATTAAGCAGGTAAAAGGTCTGGAGTTGATTATACAGTTGTGTTCAAAATAATAGCAGTGTGTTGAAAAAAGTGAATAAAGCTCAAAATCCTTCTGATAGCTTTCATTTCCATACACACAAATGCATTGGGAACGCTACACATTCTATTCCAAATCAAAACATGAAGAAAAATATATCAAATTTGTGTTGTTTTTCTAAAAAAAAAAATTAAGAAAATATTAGACTGTTCAAAAAAATAGCAGTGTTTGTATTCTTCTTTACAAACTCAAACATTCACTATATATACTGAAAAATGTTTGAAGGTTGCATGGAGTCAACCAACTTCTGGCACCTGTGAACAGGTATTCCAGCCCAGGATGATTGAACTACATTCCACAGTTCTTCTCTATTTCTTGGTTTTGCCTCAGAAACTGCATTTTTGATGTCACCCCACAAGTTTTCTATTGGATTAAGATCCGGGGATTGGGCTGGCCACTCCATAACGTCAATCTTGTTGGTCTGGAACCAAGATGTTGCACGTTTACTGGTGTGTTTGGGGTCATTGTCTTGTTGAAACACCCATTTCAAGGGCATTTCCTCTTCAGCATAAGGCAGCATGACCTCTTCAAGTATTCTGATGTATTCAAACTGATCCATGATCCCAACACCGTAGTATGAGAAACATCCCCATATCATAATGCTTGCACAACCATGCTTGTCTTCACAGTGTACTATGGCTTGAATTCAGTGTTTGGGGGTCGTCTGACAAACTGGCTCCAGCCACTAGACCCAAAAAGAACAATCTTACTTTCATCAGTCCACAAAATGTTGCGCCATTTCTCTTTAGGCCAACAAATGTGCTCTTTGGCAAATTGTAACCTCTTCAGCACGTCTTTTTTTCAACAGTGGGACTTTGCAGGGGCTTCTTGCAGATAGCTTGGCTTCACATAGGTGTCTTCTAATTGTAACAGTACTCACAGGTAACTTTAGACCTTCTTTGATCTTCCTGGAGCTGGTTGTTGGCTGAGTCCTTGCCATTTTGGCTATTCTATCCATTCGAATGGCAGTTTTTCACTTTCTTCCACGTCTTTTAGGTTTTGGTTGCCATTTTAAAGAATTTGCGATCATTTTAGCTGAGCAGCCTATCATTTTCTGCACTTCTTTATATGTTTTCCCCTCTCCAATCAACTTTTTAATCAAGGTACGCTGGTCTTCTGAACAATGTCTGGAACGACCCATTTTCCTGAGAATTTCAGAGAGAAAAGCACTGTAACCAGCATGTACAACATTGGCTGCCTTCCTTCCTTAAATAAGGGCAATAATTGCCACCTGTTTTTCAAAGAATGAATGATCTCACTAATAGAACTCCACACTTGCTATTATTTTGAACATGCCCCTTTCAATTAGTGATTCAATTACACAGAATCAGAAGCATGCATGTCATGACTGTTGGGTCTGTTGGATTTCTTTTACTCTACTACACCTGCTAGTAAATTATTTGCCATATAGAAATATAATTTCTACCAAAAACAGTGATTGATCAGGTTAGTGATGTCTGACTGCTATTATTTTGAACACAACTGTAAGTGTGGTATTTGCATTTGGAATCTATTGCTGTGAACCTACATCATGCATTCAAAGGAGCTGTCCATGAAAGTGAAACAGATCATTGTAAGGCTTCAAAAATGAAACAAATCCATCAGAGAGATAGCAGCAACATTAGGAGTGGCCAAATCAACAGTGTGGTATATTCTGAGAAATGAAAAAACGCACTGGTGAGCTCAGCAACATAAAAAGGCATGGACGTCCACGGAAGACAACAGTGTTGGAGGATCCTCTCTATGGTAAAGAAAAACCCATTCACAACATCCAGACAAGTGAAGGACACTCTCCAGGAGGTGGGCGTATCATTGTCAAAGTCTTATAATCAAGAAAAGACTTCAGGAGAGCAAATACAGAGGGTCACCACAAGGTGCAAACCATTCATAAGCCTGAAGAATAGTAAAGCCAGATTAGACTTTGTCAAAAAAAAATCTAAAAAAGCCAGAACAGTTCTGGAAAAGCATTTCTTTGGACGGATGAAACAGATTAATCTGTACCAGAATGAGGGTGGAGAAAAAAGTGTGTAGAAGGCTTGTAACAGCTCATGATCCAAACCACACAATGCCATCTGTAAAACATGGTGGAGGCAGTGTGATGGCATGGGTATGCATGGCTTCCAGTGGCACTAGGTCATTGATGTTTATTGATAATGTGACAAAAGCAGCCACATGAAGTCTGCAATGTTTAGAGATATAATGTCAGCCCAGATTCAGCCAAATGCAGCAAAGTTGATTGGACGGCTCTTCACAGTACAGATGGACAATGATCCAAAACGCACTGCAAAAGCAACCCAGGAGCTTTAGAAGGAAAATAAGTGGAATATTCTGCAATGGCCGAGTCAATCACCTGATCTCAACCCAATTGAGCATGCATTTCACTTGGTGAAGGCAAAACTAAAGGCGGAAAGACCCACAAACAAAGTACAACTGAAGACAGCTGCAGTTAGAGCCTGGCAAAGCATCAGAAAAGAGGAAACCCAGCCTTTGGTAATGTCCATGGGTTCCAGACTTCAGGCAGGCATTGCCAGTAAAGGATTCTCAACAAAACATTAAAAATAAAAATTGTATTTATGATTATATTCATTTGTCCAATTACTTTTGGTCCCTTGAAAAAGGGGGATGACTAATCTTAAGAGCTGTAATTCCTAAACCCTTCCTCCATTTTGGATGCACATACCCTCAAATTAAACCTGAGAGTGTGCACTTGCAGGCCATATCCATTATATAACTATAGCTTGAATATGTTTTGGTAAATACCTGACAAAAACTAAAATTGTCCCTGTGTCCAAATATATATGGACCTAACTGTATGTGGAGAGAGGGTGGAGGGGAGACAAAAAAAGGTCGGTAGAAGGGGCATGGAGCAAAATGGTTCCTAGATTTGGCATATACCAGTAACCCTAGCAATTGATTCTAGTGTCTAAGTGGAAACTGCCAGCATAGCTTGATAATCAGGTGAAAAGGTGAAGTTGGCCCAGTAAAACCATCTCTTACAGAATGCATGATTTCATTCCATTGAGTAAATGTTTTAGGTGGGAGTGTTTGTATTTGTAGAGAGTGGAGCCAGATGAAGATATATGAAAATATAAGTAGCTGGGTGTCCTTTTCCCTTGCCATCTCCAACAGATAGAGAGACACTGCGGTAAAAAACTATGAAGTGTCATTGTCAGGAATGGACTCACCATTAGTGGTGGGACTCATCTGCCATGTGGGCTGCAGTACCAGGGCTGGCCAGCGGGTCCTCTCAGCAACCAGAAGCTCACTCCTGCAGTCAGCCATCACCTGAGGCTGATTGCAGGAGGTGTATTTAAGGAATGGCCAGACCTGCAGTCAGGGCCTTGGTGTATGTTTCCCATGAGCCCCTGTACCTGCATCCTATCTGCTTCCTGCCTGATCGTGACTCTGAACGAACTCCGCCTGTCCTGACCTCGGCTATTCCTGACCACTCTTCCGCTCGCTCCTGGTACCGTTTGCCCGTTTGCTACCGACCCGGCCTGCCCGACTACGTTTGATTGTATATATGGTTATCTGTTGGGTGTGGGTTGTTTGCACGGTGTTATGTTTACCTTGCACTGCGTTTGTGTTGTTTAGTCTTCAATAAATTGTCTTGTTTACACTATACCTGAAGCCTGCATTTCCCTGTGTCAGTCCACACACCTCTGGTCATACCTGGAGCCCTGACATTACACCAAGGCCATTCCTGCCCAGAAGTGGCTGCACAGGGAAGCCATCTTGGCTTGTTGTTGTGAAGGATGCATCCAGAGGAGGTTATATACTTGTGTCTGCTAGTCTTAGATGACAGAATATGCCTGTCAGACTCTGCAGAAGTATACCAGGGATCAGCTGCTAGAATGCATACGGGTCGCTCATTCCCTAGTAGATCAGAGCACAGAGTTCTCTGAGGTGCAACCATTGATTCAGGCTTGTGTTGAGTTGGCTTCGTCTAGTACCCCTGAAAGCAAGGATGACTTTCTTCCACCATTCAGTGTGGATCAAATAGAATCACTGGTATGGTTGTTGGAGGATGATCCGGATTGCTTCTGGGAACATTATTCAGCATGTTCACCACATGTGCTAGTGGAGTGTATAAATGCAGTGCAGTCTTTGGTCAGACAGGCTATGTGTAAGCTGAGTTTAATTCAACCAATACTACAGTCCTGGTCAGACTTGTTACACCCAGCCTCAGTCAGCTTGCAACAAACCCGTCCTGCTTCTAATCATTCCTCTGCTCAAAGCTCTATTCCTGCATTCCCGACAGCACCCCCAGTTACAGCCCAATATACCCTGCTATCTACCACATGTCAGTACCCTGTTCCCACTCGCTGCACCTATCCTGCCTTTAACCCTGTAAAAAAGGCCGCTGTAACAACTATTCCCTCCTCTGTTCCACCCTCCAGCTCTTTTCTGTCCCCAGCTACTCCATCCATTTACAGACCTGCATTTACTTGCAGTGCCCCAGTAACTAAACCCAAGAAGAAGCGAAAATTCTTTCCAACCAGTACCATCCTACCAGTATCCAAACCGGTCAGCCTGCTGTCTGAGAACCCTCCTTCCGTTGTTCAGCCTGATGCCCTGATGACCCAGTGTACGCTACCCAGCCTGATGACCCGCTCCAGCCTGATGGCCCGATCCGGCCTGATGACCCGATCCGGCCTGATGACCTGATCCAGCCTGATGACCCGGTGTTCATGATCCAGCCTGATGACCCGATCCAGCCTGATGACCCGGTCCGGCCTGGTGCCTCGGTGCCCGTGGTCCGCTGGTGCCTCGGTGCCCGTGGTCCGGCCTGGTGCCTCGGTGCCCGTGGTCCGGCCTGGTGCCTCGGTGCCCGTGGTCCGGCCTGGTGCCTCGGTGCCTGCTGTTCTACCAGATTACTCGGTGCCTGCTGTCCTGCCAGATGACTCGGTGCCCGCTGTCGAGCTTGGTGACCCGGTGCCCGCGGTTCTGCTAGATGGCTCGGGGCCCGCTGACTTGCCAGATGACTCGGTGCCCGCTGTCGAACTTGGTGACTCGGTGCCCGCTGTCGTGCCAGATGACTCGGTGCCTGCTGTCGAGCTTGGTGACTTGGTGCCCGCTGTCCTGCCAGATGACTCGGTGCCCGCTGTCCTGCCAGATGACTCTGTGCCCGCTGTCGAGCTTGGTGACCTGGTGCCCGCGGTTCTGCTAGATGGCTCGGTGCCCATGTCGTGCCAGATGACTCGGTGCCCGCTGTCGAGCTTGGTGACTCGATGCCCGCTGTCCTGCCAGATGACTCGGTGAACGCTTTCGAGTTTGGTGACCCGGTGCCCGTGGTTCTGCTAGATGGCTCGGTGCCCGCTGACGTGCCAGATGACTTGGTGTCCGCTGTCGTGCCAGATGACTCGGTGCTCGCTGTCGAGCTTGGTGACTCGGTGCCCGCTGTCGAGCTTGGTGACTCGGTGCCCGCTGTCGAGCCAGATGACTCGGTGCCCGCTGTCGTGCCAGATGATTCGGTGCCCGCTGTCGTGCCAGATGACTCGGTGCCTGCTGTCGTACCAGATGACTCGGTGCCCGCTGCTGAGCTTGGTGACTCGGTGCCCGCTGTTCTGCTAGATGGCCCGGTGCCTGCTGCTCCGCCTGATGGCCCGGTGCCTGCTGCCCAGCCTGATGTGCCTCTGTCTGCCCAGCCTGATGTGCCTCCGTCTGCTGCCCAGCCTGATGTGCCTCCGTCTGCTGCCCAGCCTGATGTGCCTCCGTCTGCTGCCCAGCCTGATGTGCCTCCATTCGCTGCCCAGCCTGATGTGCCAACCCCTGATGTCCAGCTAAACTAGCCAATAACTGATTCCCAGCCTGCTCCGGGAGATCCTGTGTCCAGTAACCTGCCTTCCTGGGTTCTCCTACACAAGGAGAAGTCTACCAGCAGGAAACCCAGCCAGCCGGTTGACTCCGGCAGTAGGATATCCAGCCAGTTACCTGACCCGGGCGGTGGAACATTTTGCCCACTAAGGACTGTTTGGAGCGTCCTGAGGCTGCTCCTTGAGGGGGGGTACTGTCAGGAATGGACTCACCATTAGTGGTGGGACTCATCTGCCGTGTGGGCTGCAGTACCAGGGCTGGCCAGCGGGTGTTCTTAGCAACCAGAAGCTCACTCCTGCAGTCAGCCATCACCTGAGGCTGATTGCAGGAGGTATATTTAAGGAATGGCCAGACCCGCAGTCAGGGCCTTGGTGTATGTTTCCCATGAGCCCCTGTACCTGCATCCTGTCTGCTTCCTGCCTGATCCTGACTCTGAACGAACTCCGCCTGTCCTGACCTCGGCTATTCCTGACCACTCTTCTGCTCGCTCCTGGTACCCTGTTTGCCACCGACCTGTCCTGCCCGACTACGTTTGATTGTATATATGGTTATCTGTTGGGTGTGGGTTGTTTGCACTGTGTTATGTTTACCTTGCACTGCTTTTGTGTTTAGTCTTAATAAATTGTCTTTTTACACTATACCTGAAGCCTGTCTTTCCCTGTGTCAGTCCACACACCTCTGGTCATACCTGGAGCCCTGACAGTCATAGGGACCTTATACCACCTAGAGAGGATTTTATATTCCGTTTCTTGTATGGAACTTGAGATGGTGGCCCTATGGGTTATCTGGAGGATTCTTTCTCTGTTTGGCCGTAGACATGCAACCCAGATCTCTTTCCCTTGGAAAGGTAATTTGGTTACTCCAGATCTGGGATGTAAGATAGAATGCAGTGAAACAATCCTATTACAGTATATTGGTTCAGCGTCAAGGTGTAACTTTTTAAAAGGAGAGAGAGGGAGCAGGGATTGAGTCTTGTGGTGCAGAAACTTGACTGCATGACTTCCCAAAGAACAAAATGGGGGGGTCGCTCATCACCTATAGTTCATACAGGGAATCTGTCCCAAAATGGTGTAATCTGTATGTTTGCTGGTGTAAGGCCTGGTTCACACCTATGCATTTTTTAGTGCATTTTGCAGAAAAACTCACTACAGTTTATTTAATATGGTTTACTATGGGACACGTTCACATCTATGTATTTTCAGCCGCTGCATTTTTTGGAAAGGGTCAGGCACTATTTTTCCTGCAGCAGATTGCAACACGCATAGGTGTGAACCAGGCCTTAGTGTATAGAATATATCCTGTCATGAAGACCAAGAAGAAAGCATGGATGCCCATTACCAGGGTCATGCAGGAAGGTGTCTGAACAGTGAGAACTGGTAACCTATTCAGTTTAAGCAATTTAAGGGTGGTGCCAATACAGGGTGGTTAAGTAGTAGCTTTGGAGGAGCATCAAGAATCACCCAGGAAAGCCCCCTTAAGGAATATCTGTACATGCCTGTTCCATTGGGATCCATTGATTAGGCAACTTTGTAGTACACCACTCTAAAACACTGGCTAAATGTATTGCTTTATGGTACTTGACCACATCTGGGAGGCGGGTCCCTCCTCTGTCTAGGTCGGGTCGGCAGTGAATAACTGAACCTGTGTGCCTGACCTGCACATAAACATTGACCAAAACTGCATATAACCTTTAACATGGTAAAGCCCAAATAATAAATGCACCCACACATTGCAAGAAAAAAATGCTGTTATATTTTTGAAAATGATGTTGCAAAGCATTGCATTGCAAAACCGAGCTCCTAATTTTCCCCCCAGCCCGCGCCCCCACCCTCTCCATCACGATCAACATGCCACCATCAGTCCCACCCTGCAAGCCAAAGTCCTAGGTGTCACTCTAGACTCAAATCTGTCATTCCAACCCCATGTCAAATTGCTGGCAAACTCATGCAGGCTCCACCTCCGCAACATCTCCAAAATACGTACGTTCCTAACCCCAGACACTACTAAACAACTCATTCACTCCCTTATTATCTCACGACTTGACTACTGCAACTCCCTCCTCACCGGCCTACCTCATCACTGACTATCCCCACTTCAGTCTATCCTGAACTCAGCGGCCAGACTCATCCACCTTACCAACCGCTCCACATCTGCCACCCCCCTCTGTCATTCCCTCCATTGGCTTCCGATTGCCCAACGCATTAAATTCAAACTACTAACATTGACATACAAAGCCATTCATAACACTACCCCAAACTACCTCACCGACCTGATACCCAAATACCACCCAACCCGTACTCTTCGCTCTTCACAAGACCTCCTACTTTCTAGCTCCCTGGTCTCCTCCTCCCATGCCCGACTGCAGGACTTCTCCAGGACTTCCCCCATCCTCTGGAACTCACTACCCCAATCCATCAGACTGTCACCCTCCTCACCTTTAGGCGCACCCTGAAAACCCTGTCACCTACCCTCCTCACCTTTAGGTGCACCCTGAAAACACATCTCTTAAGGGAAGCCTACCCCACCCTCACCTAACAGCCGATCTCCACTCCTCCTACCACTCCATCCCCCACAGCCACTTCCTCCTGTACCACTATCCCCTCCCTCCTAGATCGTAAGCTTGAAAGAGCAGGGCCCTCGAACCCCTCGTATATTGTTTTGTTACTGTATTGTCTCATGTACTGTCCCCCACTATATTGTACAGCGCTGAGCAAACTTTTTGGCGCTATATAAACACTGTATAATAATAATAATTGCAACCACAACCAGTGGATCGAAGGTGTATTGCACCGGCTCCTGCAGACTCTTCCTCCAGATCTTTATCTATACCGGGGCACCACGTTACACCCTAAATAAGGATATAACGTGCTCTAAAAAGGTGGAGTTAGCCTCTGAAGTAATTTCAAAAGTTTTTTTGTCTTTTTAAATCTGCAAAAATAATACCCAGGGATCCTGCCACAAAGGCCCTTGTTCAGGCACTTTCTGCTATGGGGTGAAAACTGTCCTCCAACTATTCTCCTGTATTATCACCCATACGCCTCTACAAGGGCCATACCAACACACTTGCATTGTCCGCTGTTGTCATTTTCAGGGTGTCAGTACAGAATAATATTGTGCACCCAACGCTGGAATAGTTGCATGTAGACAGCAAGTGGCTAAACTGTCCTTAAGGAGATCAGCAGCACTGATATACTATAAAGAAAAAGGGGAAAACCATATTTAATAGACAAACCCCTGGCAGTTGTGCACAGAGCAAACAAATAATTCACATCCTTTTACAATTTAGATCTACTTTAACCACTTATGCAAAGTGGTGGATGCTTTTTTTTTTACAGTGTCTTTTCTAAACACCCACAAATCTCCAGGCAGCCACTCCGCCTGTTAATGGCTGTGAACCTAGCTGTAATCAGATGGTTTGGTTCACAGAGAGTGTATACAATTGATCCAAGCAAGTATATACTAGGTGATTGCGGTGATGACCAAGACCGGGGACCGGTCGAAAAGTCCTCCTGAACATTGTGCAGGTTTGATCCAGAGCTACCAAAAGTGCTTGTCTGAAGTCATTGCCATCAAAGAAGGTTTGACCAGCTATTGCCTCCATAGGTTCACTTTTTCCGCCAGCAATATAAATATTGAATGGATATGTTCCATAAAGACACAAGAATTTAGAATTATTTGTAGCAGTCAGAAAAGACCAAAAAGTTTGAAAAAATATTTTTTTTTTACATTTCTGTTATAAAAATTTTGCAAATAAATGATCTTTCTTCATAAATTTAGGGCAAAATGTATACTGCTGCAAATTAGTATTAGTAACCCAAATTAGTATATATTATTTCCAGGGCTCAACAGTCCAGGTGCCAGATCACCACGATGACTAGAAATTGCATCCTGGTACCCATTCACTAGTCTGAATAATGTATCCCGCTGAAACCCGGACACATTACATTACTTAGACAGGAATGTGGCTCGGAGCGGAGCCTGGCAAGAGGGTGAAGGGAACAGAGGAGGAGGGGGCAGCGGTGGGGGCACCCGACCTGTGAAGTCTGGGGCGGACTGGGCTGGGGGTCAGGACAGCGGCCAAGCGTGGCATGAGAGGACTCGCCTCACTTAGCTCCCGCTGCTGATCTTTTGAATTCTCCTTTCCACAGTCGCATTACCGTCTGCATCAGCTCCTGCTTCCATCCACAGCTGCCTGTGGCCCTGCAAACCCCTCTGGCAGAACAGAGAGCAGTCTCCAACATGGCACTGTCTCGGCACTGCCACAGAGAATGAGGTGATGAGAAAAAGGACTACAGTGTCCTTACAGTAGTGAACAGGGCAATCCCGAAAAGTAGTCAGCCAGGGAGGGACATGATGCTTTATGCACACAAGTTGCCCTCTCTCTACTCTGCTCTCAGATACTGCTGGGGAGGATGCATTGAACATGCAGGAGGACATGGGGGGGTGGGGGATTGCATTGCTGTCCTGCACCCCATTCTCCATGCACCTTTTTTCTGCACCCAATGTCCTGCGTTCTGCACCCTTCTGCTGCACCCCATGTTCTGTGTTCTGCACTCTTCACCTGCACCTGATGTCCTGCGTTCTGCACCCTTCTCCTGCACCCCATGTTCTTTGTTCTGCACCCCATGTCCTGCATTCTGCACCCGTCTCCTGCACCCATGTCCTGCATTCTAGACCCTTCTCCTGTGTGACGATTGTGCATCATAGAGACATGGACACTGTACATGACAGTCATCTTGTTAGGTCGCAGACATTTTGTCTCTCCTGTCCTCCCTCCTCCCTTTTAAATGGAATGTGAGGCTTTAAATGAGCGGAGGTCAAAAGGGCCTCTTATCCTAAATAAAACACAGCTAGATGAGCTCCATGGCTGTAAACCGCTAATTAGTCTGGTTCCATGGGTTCTTCTTTGAAAAA